ACTATGACCTTAGAAATTTTAAGATTATGTGTATATTATTTTTGTCTCACCTTTTATATAACATAACAAACCTAAACAGACCTTCATCACTTTCTTAGGCTTTCTCAATTTTTCTGAAAATTTTGGATTTTTAACATCTTTTACATTCTCATTTTCTTTTTTTAATAAAATAATTATAAGACATAATAACATTAACAAATAAATTTCCCATCTGTTGTGAGAATCCTTTTCCTGGGGATACTAAGCAATGTTTATCCCCTTCTAAGGTTCTAGTGTTAAACCAATGTTTGATTAAAGTTCTCCTGGGGAACCAATGAATTTACTGAGCTTCCTTACAGAGAAGATGGAGGGGTTGCTGAGGTATACAAGTGACCTGAGGGTATGCACACAGGAAATCCTTTAACCAGCATGGACCAAGCCTTCTCTTTCTGCCCTTCCCCAGATTATATACTTTAGTCATTTGCAAATCCAGGAGACCATGTGTGATTAGGGCTAGATTACATGCAGTTGGCCAGGGAGAGTGGCTGAATACTCTGGTAAGGGTCCAATGACCCTGCTTGCCCCTCCTTTAATGAAGGAGCACAACTGTCAACAAGCCCACTTGTCACAATGTTTAGCAAGCAGGCTTGCCCAATTTTTAAAAGTATATAGTTGAAAAAAAATCTAATTTCTGAAATAACTACATGTACCTTTTTGGAGCAGTTCCAGAAATGATCAAGGCAGGGTTCAGGAATGAAAAATGTTTTTAAGGGGTTGGTGAGATAGCTCAATGTCTAAGAGCACTTGTTGCTCTTGTAAAAGACCTGGATTCAGTTCCCAGCACCCACATGACAGCTTACAAACATCTGTAATTCCAGTTCCAGGTGTTTCAAAACCCTCTTCTGGTCTCTGTGGACTCCAGAATTGCACATGGTGCACATACATATATGGAGACAAAATACTCATACACATAAAATAAAAATAAATCTCGAGTATGCTTTTTTTATTTTAAAAGTTATTTTTATTTTGTATGAGTGTTTTGCCTTCATGTATTTAAGTGTACCAGGTGTGTGCAAACCCGTGGAGGTCTGTGCTTTTTTAATAAATATTTATCTGCTAAAACATCTCAACAGCCCAAGGGTGTGCTTTGTTTAAGGAAAGTTTTGAAAATGTTTGTAATGTGTATTTTAGTAAACTTGCAGTTTAGAGGCAGATGATAACTAGACCTAAAGATTCTGTTGTTGGCATTGAATCTGAACTTAGCCTGTCCTTTCTTGTAAAAACTATGATTTACGGGAACCACTGATTTCCTGGAAAATTAAGAGGACATCCTATTGGAAACTTCTCTGGCATAATAGTTTAAAATTAGATGGGCTGGAGAGCTAGCGCAGCCTGTAAATGTACATTCCTCGGATCAGTTCCTTTGACAGACACGCGGTAGCAGGTCCACTGCTATTCTTCAAGAGCTGTCCTTAAGTGGAACATGCTGGAATCACGGAGTCAGTTTTCACACACACAAAAGAATGGAATCAATGGAGACAGGTGGAAGCACTCTGAGTTGCTGCGGAACTAAGCAAGGCTTTGCTTGTGCACATCCTTGCCTAAAGAGATTTCTCAGCAAGGGATTCTCCTCAGTCCTTATCTCTTGAGTCAGCTATTTCCGTTTATCTGTAAATGACTTTTTGAGCGCTTTCCAACGCAGAGGTCTTGCCTCACCACACCCAAGGCTTGGTGATGACAAAACCTGGGCTTCTGATTCCGCTCTGCCACTTACACGCGTGTGGAGCCAGTTGCTTATCCTCTCTGTTTCCAGTCTGCGAAATAGAACTAGTTGATTCTACTACTCGAGGAGGCAGAATCCCGCACATGACAACGCCCTGAGAGGGAAATGGGCCTTCCGTGGAGTCTCACGTGACCTCCCAACCCCCGCCCCGGTGTCTTCCCTCAGACATAGGGGCGTGGTCTCTTAGGGCGGCTGGCCGGTCATTGGCTGAGAGGCGGGGCTGGCAAGGAGAGCGAGAAGAGGGCGTGGCTAGGCGAGCCGCAGGCGCATCCGATTGGCTGGAGGCATGTCGGGGCGTGTCCTTGACTGGCCGGTTGCGGGCTGGGCTCTCCGCTTCAGGCGTCGGGTGGCTGCTCGGTGTGCACCTGAGAGCAGACGCCCCTGGTCCTGAGGCTGTGCTGCGCTGTGCTGTCCCCACCGCCATGAACCGCTTCAAGGTGTCCAAGTTCCGGCACACGGAGGCTCGGCCGGCCCGCCGTGAGGTGAGCCTCGCTCACGGGCCCCGCGCCCTCGCCTCTGGCCCCTCTTGGCCGTCTTTCCCCGTGTGCTCGGCCTTGCTGTGCGCACCCTGGGACTGCGGAGTCCCAGAGCTTTCCACCCCGGGGCGCCCCTTCAGGCCAGGGCCTCGGAGTCCAGGCCGCCCCTTTGCTGTCGCGAGGGCAGAGTCCGGAGCTCTCGTGACGCGCCTGGCTGCCTGGTGATCCCGGCGGTCTGCCTGGCCCGCTGGCCTCACCCTGGGACCCCCCCCCCCCAACGAGGCGTAGCAGCTCTCCCAGCGGCATCCTGGCCTCTGCTTCCGGTCGGCCTTGCTGGGAGCCCAGGCTGGGACGCTGCTGACGAGGAGCTCCTCCTTCCTGCGGTTCGGGATCGCCCCTGCTTGGGGCCGGGCTGTAGAAGAGATTCACCTCTTTGCTCTGGCCTGGGTGAGAGCGAGGGTGTCAGCTGGAGACAGGAGCCCCTCGGCCAGACGCGCGCCTCTCCTTCGGGTTTCCGCCAGCATTTCCTTCTCTGCTGGCGTAAGTTCTTCCCTTACTCGGGTGATGCCACCAGTGGTGGTTGGGGCCCGGGGAAGCCAGAGCAGGTGGAGCCTAGAGGAAGTGCAGATGGGGTGGGGGGGCACTACTGATCTCTGGAAGAACAGCAGGCTTGGTGAAGCCAGTTCTGGTCTGCCGCCTCCTGTGCTACTTGGAAGCCTGGGAGTGTCTTCAGATCATTGGGATTAGAAGCTGACCTGTAGTGGCCCTGTCAGCGGCCCACAGCAGGTCCTGAAACTGTCTTGAGGAACATGCCCGTTTACATTCTCTGGACAAAATCTCGTCTGTACCTACCTGGTGTTGCATAGCTTCCGGAGCCAGAACAGTGAGCATTATGCCATTTTTCCTTCCCTGTAGCATTTTGCTTCAGGAGGGAGATAACAAGCACAGCATAAATGCATTGAAACACACATGAAGGGCGGTGATGGAGAGTGGTGATGGAGAGGTTAATCTCAGTAGCATGGTGGAGAAGGCTGCCTGGAGGAAGTGACATTTCAGTTGAGGTGGGAAGGATGAGAAGTGAGAAAAAACTCAGTAAAAGGAATGGAAAATGGACCAATGTGGATGGAGGTCACTGGCCAGGCAAAGCATGGTGACAGGGCAGTCTTTCAGAGGAAGGAGGTGTTTAGTGTTTAGTTTTGCATCAAGACCATTACTAGGAGTGTAGTAATTCCTGCTGGAGGGATCTGGAGAGCCTTTCAGGGACTCTGTGGCTTGCTTCTGGGTGGGCCTCCTCCACCAAGGTAAACAGACAGGCCAATGGAACCAGGACTGCAGGGAGAGCTTAAAATAGTTTATGTTATGGAGGTGGGAGAGCAGGCAATCTGTTCTCCTTTTCAAAGCTATTGTCTATCACTGTTTGTACAGTAAACATGAATCAGGAGGAAAAAGTTATGCATGGTACTGATGTTCTACTGGTGGCAAATGAACACTAAAATAGGAAATTTAGGTGGTGATGGTGCAGGTGGGTGGACTGGGGAGTGTGGGTACTTTGTCATTGAGGCAGGAAGGATTATGGAACAGTAGTTTGACACCAACAAAGGAAACTGCTGATCTTAGTTTCAGTAAAAGTACTCTTCTGCCTCCCACCTGTGGGGGTGTTAACATCATTGCCTTTTCTTAGGTGTGGGGAATTCACTCATCTAGGAGAACAGGGTGCTCTGAGGAAGCCAGGTCTGGATCTTTCCCTCCTTAGTATCTGTGTTCTTAAGGGGCCCTGGAACTCTGGGGCCTTGGGAAATCCCTCAGCTGAGGAAGCCAAGCCCATCTTCTGTGTTAGGTGATCACGCCTTCCTCTGCTACCCTATACCCCCCTTTGAACTGAAATAGTCCACATATACCCCACACATGCTTCCTTCTGACAGCCTCCTCCTTCTTATTAGGGAACTGACTTGCTAAGCAAAGTCATCCTTTTAGATTATTTTCAAGAACACTTGGCATTAGACTATGTGAGTAGAATAGGGTTTGATCTAAAGAAATGCATCTCCAGTGGTGTAGCTTTAAGGTGGAATTCTCTAGGAGCTAAGAAGATGATTCTCTTGGTAAAGTGCTTACTATGCAGGCATGAGGACCTGAGTTTGATGTCTAGAACCTACATAAAAAGTCAGGCGTGGTGACACATGCTTTTAGTCCCAGCACTCGAGAGGCAGAGGCAGGCGGATCTCTGTGAGTTCAAGGTCAGCCTTGGTCTACATAGTGAGTTCCAGGCCAGCTGGGGCTACAGGGAGACCCTGTTTCTAAAAGACCAAAAAAAAAAAAAAAACAAACCAAAACAACAAAACAACAAAAAAGGTCAGGCTTATTGGTATGTGCTTATAATCTCAGTGATGACAGGGCAGAGATAGGTAAATCCCTAGAGTTTATTAGCCAGCCAGCCTAGCTGAATTGGTGAGTTCAGGTTCAGTGAAGGACCCTGTCTCAAAAAACAAGATGGAGGGCTCCTGAGTAATGACACTGGAGTTGACCTCTGACTTCCGTAGACACATACACACATATACACACGCACGCACATACACATGCACCCCACACAAAGAGTTCCTTGGATTATGGCCCTCTCCAAACATGAACAGAGACCTGACTCTACCCATATTTCTTCTTCTTAATGTTCTTCATGTTTCTTTTCAGGCCTGGATCAGTGACATTCGTGCAGGAACAACTGCATCATATGGACACCACATTAAATCAAGCTGCAGCTTGATTGCCTTCAACTCTGACCGTCCAGGTAGGAGGGCAGACATGGGGAAGAGGTTCAGACATTGTCACCATGGATAGCGTAAGGGGAAAAGCAGGCTCCATTCAGACTGAGATTGGAGTGGCCTGGAATCGGAGGAGAGGCAGGGCCTTATATTCCTATAAACTAATCAATGTACAGCAATCAGGTCAATTTTGCTTAGGGTATGCTTGTATCTAAACCAAGATTTTTGTTTCAGCCAGATGTTTCTGTTTTCAGCTGTTCCCATTGGTAATCCCCTCCTCAGGTTTGGGCCCTCAGTGACTGGGATCAATAGAAATGCAGATTTGAAAAGTCCTTGTTCCTTGTGTGGTGCAACATATCTGTAATGTCTGCATTCAGGAGGCCAAGGCATGAAGATTATAAAATGGAAGCCAGTCTGGGTTACATAAAGAGACTCTGTCTCAAAAAGACTAAAAACCAGCTAGGCGTGGTGGCGCATGCCTTTAATCCCAGCACCCCAGGACAGCTGGGGCTACAGGGAGACCCTGTCTCAAAAAAACCAAAAAAAAAAAAAAAAAAAAACAAAAAAAAAAAAAAAAAAAAAGACTAAAAAACAACAAACAAAAAAAAACAAAACACAAAGGCCTTGTGTTAGTTAGTGTTCTTTTGGCTGCTTGTGACAATATAGACAAACTAATTTAAGCAGAAGATAAACACTTTTCTGGCTTGTCTAAGCAGTCAGGAGGTTTAGGCAGAGTTGGATCCAAAGGTTCACATGTGCTGTTCACCCTGACTCTTCATTCCTTTGGTTTTTTGAGATACACTGTAGGCCAGGCTAGCTGTAGACTTGCAGGAGGAATCCTGCTTTGGCCTCCCAAGTGCTGTGATTATAGGTGTGAACTACTATACTTGGTTCCCAACCTTTGTCTTAGTCCCTCAACTCTGCTGCCTTGGTGGTACTAGCTTCTCTCTTAGGTGAAGGTGGGAGGAGTAGCCAGTGGCCCAAGTACGATACACTATGTGAGAAGAAAACCTTTCTCGTGGCTTCTGTACATCCAGTGCAGAGGGGTTCAAGCTTGGGGAAGAACCTAGCCCTGAGCTGTTCACTGAGTCTGGAGGGAAAGTAATGACTGGTGGAGCTTCTCAGGAGGTCATAAGGTTTGCAAGTTTGGTCTCCTTTGGGAGACCAGGAATAAGCATATTTATTATGCTTATGTGTATGAATATGTTGCCTGCATGCAAGTGGCACCCATTAAGCCCAAGGTCAGAACCCCTGTGTTTGTTTAACAGGTGTATTGGGCATCATATCTCTAGAAGACCACAGAAAGGACAAAAAACACGTGGCCTATCTTGGCTGCCATTCAGGTGAGTGGTGCTTGATCCAGGAAGCCTGGAACTTTCCCTGCCTCTTGGGACCAGGGATTCTTACACATCTGATCCCATAGCCTGTGGCTTGTCATCCTCACTATTTGTTCTGCAAGGTATTTGGACTCAGAAGGCTACACCTGGCTTGGAATTCTGGTCTGGCAGGGAGGAGAAGGAAGCTGATGCTCCATGTTATCAGAGTGGAAGAAGAGGGATGTGCTGTATCAGTTCTGGGTTTCTGGCTATAGTTGCTAAGGATCCTCCCCTGTGTCACTCTTAGCCCTGCAGAGCACTTCTCATTACCAGATACCCTTCCTAATCAGGCTACTAAAAAGCTCTTCAAGGAGGTGGCTATGCTCTGCTGCAGGGTGGAAATGGGCCCTTACAAAGGGCTTTTGTCTACTGCAGCTGCTTCTGGGGGCACCCAGCAGCCTACCTGGCAGCCTGCCCACTTTGAGTTAGGTTTGCTATCCCCATGCTGAAGCAGCTCTGGCCTAGTTTGCCTTGTCTCCTCCATCTAGCTGTAGCTTCTATGGACTTGGTCTCTTTGGCTTGTTGGAGGCTTGAGGTGAGGGAAAAGGGTAAATCCTTGGCCCTTATGCAGGGTAGAGTAGCAGCGGGGAGGGAGAGTTGAGGGCAAGGGTTCTGCTCAGTGTCTGGATTCTTATGATGATGATGATGATAATTAAGGTAGTTAATAACAAAAGCCAAGATTAACCTAGAACACTCTAGTGCTAAACTGTGTTATCTGAGTTTTCTAGTTTAAACTTTAAAATATTTTATTTATTATGTGTATGTGTATGAATGTGTTGCCTGCATGCGTGTAAGTCCTAAGTCCACCGTGTTGTGCAGTATCAGTAAAGGTCAGAAGAGAGCATGGAATTCCCTTGGAACTGGAGTTCTAGATGGTTGTTAGCCAACCAGTGGGTGCTGGGAATTGAATCTGGGTCCCCTGCAAGAGCAAACAGTACTCTTAACTGCTGAGCCATCTCTCCAGCCCCTAATTTAAACTTTAAAAAAGAATTATTGAGCAATCATTTGCATATGTTAAATAGTGCCTTTTTTTTTTTTTTTTTTTTCTTTTTGAGACAGGGTCTCCTTGTTGTAGCCCCAGCTGTCCTGGAACTCAATATGTGGACCAGGCCGGCCTCGAACTCACAAAGATCTGCCTGCCTCTGCCTCCCAAGTTGCTAGGATTAAAGGTGTGCTCTACCACGCCTGGCAATAGTGCCTGTTTTAAGTGAATAATTGATTTTTATTAAAGTAATAAAGGGCTGGATATATTAGTCCAGTTGTAGAGTGCTTTCCTAGCATGTACAAAGTCTTGAGTTTGATCCCCAACACCACATAAACCAGGTGTGGTAGCACATGCCTATAATTCCAGCACTAGGCAGTAGAGACAGAAGGATTAGAACTTCCAGATCAGCCTTGACTACATAGTCAATTTGAGGCCAGCCTGGGATACATGAGATACTATCATTAAAAAAAAAGAAAAAAATAGAGCTGGAGAGATGGCTCAGTAGTTAAGAGCGCTGACTGCTTTTGCAGAGGACCCGGGTTTGATTCCCAGCACCCACATGGTGACTACAAACGGTCCTTAACTCCAGTTCCAGGGGAATCCGAAGCCCTCTTCTGACCTCCAAGGCATTGCAGGACACAGGTGCACTCACATACATGCAGGCAACACACTCATACGCATAAAAATAAAAATAATAATGCTGGGCGTGGTGGCTAATGCCTTTAATCCCAGCACTTGGGAGGCAGAGGCAGGCGGATCTTTGTGAATTCGAGGCTGGG